TACTGCATATATATATATATATATATATATATATATATAACTTGTCGAAAAGAGAAAATAAATTAATACCTTACATCACCATTAAAGATGTTGCTAGTGTAGTGGGGTTATTTAATGGGTGATTCCTCCGGCTCTTAATTACTTGGGATAAGAGTATCTTTAATAAGAGTTCTTAGTTAACTTCTTAGATATAAAAATTAATTTTTATAATTTTATTATTGAAACATGTCGACGTGGATCATACATGTAAAAATCGTTTTCATGTAAAATTATTTTAAATTTGGTTCTTATTAATAATTTTTGTATTATTCTTACTAAAATAAAATTAAAAATATGGAATTCATAAAGTGAATTAAGATTTTAAGTAACACTCTTCTCCTGGAACAAATATAGAGAACGTTTTTATACCTTAAATAACATTGAAAGATAAAAATTAAAAATAGATTAAGAATCCAAAAACTTTTTAGGTTTAAATATATTTTTAATTCCTTAAATTTAAAATAAATTTATTTTTAATTTTTTAAATTTAAAATTGATCTTTTTAATTTTATAATTTTAAAAAAAATATTATTTTAATTCTTATGTTGAACTTCTTTTGGGAATTTGTGTCAAATAGAAGACTTACTTATGAATATTTTTATTAATAAAAATATAATATTAAATTCAGTTAAAATTACATAATTATCTCAATTTATCACTTTTATATATGTTATTAGTATTTAAAAATTAAAATAAGATTTTTCAAAAAATTATAGAAATTAAAAAAATAATTTTAAATTTAAAGAATAAAAATAAATTTATCATAAGTTTAATAGACTTAAAAAATATACTTAAACCTACATTTTATTATCGAAGATACTATGAGATTCCATCAAAAACACAAACCAATCTTTCAGGACCCATGTGTATTCTTTGATAATTCATTATTATTATTTTTTTATTTCTTCCTTTCATTATAAAAACGTATTTTTTAACGAGAAAAATAAATTATATATATACATGTGTGTGGGGGTGATAAAGGAATTTAACCATGTAGTCGTTGGTTGTAGTTGTAATGGTCGTGGGAAGAGTTTTCTCGAGGTCTCACGGTGGGCGTCAAAATGTTTAAGTCAAAGGATAGCAACCGGAGAATCCCTAGTGATATAAACTCTAAAAGAACCTAGTCGTCGTCCTGACCTAGAACAACATTTGATGAGTGTAACCTACTATTAGTAAACCCTTTTTTCCTTTATATATATGAGTGTCATGTTAATGATACAAATATTTTTCTCCAATCTCAATCCCTTGAAATAAGTCTTCATTTTATTTCTCATAATGAGTCTATAAATCATATTTATAACCGTAATCAAATATGTGCAAGAATCATGGAAATTACTGCCTTAATTAGTCTTTGAAAATCCATAAGTAATCTTGAATTTGACCTACTTGGTCGAATGGGGAGTTGAATGATACGTATCTCTCCATGCTTAATTGTTAACAATGCAAAAAGTCTTTACTAGATGGATTCGATCAATTTGATTAACTAGGGATTTGGAAGGTACAGTTATATAATTATTTTAATTTATTATGTGTTATTAGTGATCAAAGATTAAAATAAGATTTTTTTTAAATTATAGAAATTAAAAAAATAATATTAAATTTAAAAAATAAAAAAAAATTATGAGACAAAAAAATATAATTAAACCTAGATTTTATTATCAATATGAGATTCCGTCAAAACAGAATCCAAACTTTTAGGACCCGTGTGTATTCTTTGATAATTCATTATTTTTTTATTTATTCCTTTCATTATGAAAACGTATTTTTTAACGAGAAAAATAAATTATATATATGCACGTGTGTGGCGGGTGATAAAGGAATTTACAGATTTATTATTTGTTACTACTTACTAGGTTATGTCCATTGCCTGTTTGTTCAGGACTTCAGGTAAAAAATAACGAAGATATTTTAATGTTGTAGACGGTATAAAAGTTTTTACACATAATTTAATTCTTCAAAATAGGCATGGAAGAAGAAGAAGAAGACACGTGTTTGTTTCCCCCATCCCCATGCGGCGCTTCAGAAGTCCACGATTCAAGGAGCTCCTCTAAATTACACACTATTTGGCATCCTTTGCTAAACGATTAAATAGATCAAAATTAGAGAAGGACCACACATTTCCATTAACTTCGCATGCCAACCCAACCCATGCATGCCTATAAGTACGCACTCATCACCCCACCCTTCCCAACCATTGCACCGCCCAAGGGCTTTGAGAAAACCACTGTCCTTAGGGCCAACAAACAAACCCACACACAAATACCTGCATACATATATCATATATACAATACAAGCCAGGAGAAAATCTATTTTTAAAAACCCAAAAAAAATAAAAAAACAGAAAAGAGTTTCGTAATCTTCAGCTGTAGGGATGGCAGCTGGATTCGACAGCGTCCACGAGAGGAAGAAGAAGCTCGCCATTGTGAGCGTCTCTTCCCTCCTCCTCGTGGCCATGGTCGCCGCCGTCGCCGTCGGCATCAAAGATGCCGGCGTCGAAGAGGGCGACAGCGGGATCGTTAAATCTCAAAGAAACGTTCAAGCCATATGCCAGTCCACCGAGTACAAAGAAGCCTGCACCAAGAGTCTCGCCAACGCCCCAAACGACACCACCGACCTCAAGCAACTCATCATAACCTCCTTCAACGCCACCGCCGAGGAAATCAAAGCCAAAATAGAAAACTCAACGCTCTACCACGAGTTAGCCACCGACAACATGACCAAACAGGCCATGGACATTTGCAAAGAAGTACTCGGTTACGCCGTCGACGACATTCACCAATCCATTAACACTTTGAACGAGTTCGACATCAACAAGTTGAACGACTACGCCTATGACCTCAAGGTTTGTTTCCAACCATTAAAAAAAAAAACTATATATATATATATATATATATATATATATATATATTTAAAAAGAATTTGTGTTATTTTTAATCATATGGTAATGATCTGAAATTTGAGAATTGTTTTTCACAACAAGGTTTGGCTCTCGGGTACCCTGGCACATCAACAAACATGTCTGTCTGGGTTCGAGAACACGACGACCGACGCCGGCAAGACCATGAGTAAGGTTCTGAACGCGTCGTTGGAGATGAGCAACAACGCGTTGGACATAGTGAACAGTGTTTCATCAGTGTTCAAGGGTCTTAACTTGAGTGCCTTGACGGGCAGCAGGAAGCTTCTGGCGGATGGGATCCCTTCGTGGGTGAGTGAAGGGCAGAGGAGGCTATTGGAGAATGGTGAAGTTAAACCTAACGTGGTTGTGGCTCAGGATGGGAGTGGACAAGTGACCAAGATCCACGAGGCTCTTCAGATGGTTCCAAAGAAGAACAAGACGCCTTTCGTGATTTACGTCAAGGCCGGTGTCTACAAGGAGTATGTTAACTTGCACAAGCACATGTCCTACGTCACCATGATCGGAGATGGCCCCACCAAGACCATAATCAGCGGAGACAAAAACTACGTGGATGGCGTCCAGACCTACAACACGGCAACTGTGGGTATCAACGCACCTAACTTCATGGCGAAGAACATCGGGTTCGAGAACACGGCCGGAGCAGAGAAGCACCAAGCGGTGGCACTGAGAGTAACAGCAGACAAGGCAGTGTTCTACAACTGTGCCATGAACGGGTACCAAGACACTCTGTACACGCAGTCCCAGAGGCAGTTCTACCGCGAGTGCAGCATTTCGGGCACCATCGACTTCGTGTTCGGCGACGCCATCGCAGTGTTCCAGAAGTGCAAGCTGGTGGTGCGGAAGCCGATGGAGACCCAGCAATGCATGGTGACGGCGGGAGGAAGGTCGAAGGTGGACAGCCCGAGCGCACTGGTGTTCCAGAGCTGCAGCTTCACGGGGGAGGCGGATGTGATGGGCCTGAGCCCTAAGATCGCTTACCTCGGAAGGCCGTGGAGGGCTTACTCGAAGGTGGTGATCATGGACTCTGAGATCGCGGATATCTTTGTCCCTGAAGGGTACATGCCGTGGATGGGAAGCGCTTTCAAAGAGACGAGCACCTACTACGAGTTCAACAACAAGGGTCCTGGTGCTGTGACTGTTGGTAGAATCACGTGGCCTGGCTTTAAGGTCATTAACGCTCTCGAGGCTGCCGATTACTACCCCGGCAGGTTCTTTGAGATCGCTAACTCCACTTCTCGTGATTCTTGGATCCTCCACTCTGGGGTACCCTACTCCCTTGGCCCTCTCAACTAATTTACCCATCCATCCCTTGTCCCGGCCGTTTTGACATGTTATCTATGTCTCATCGTTAATGCAGTGCTATTTATTTCTTAATTTACCTTTCTCTTTTTTTCCCCCTTCATTCCCTATCCATCCTTACTTCAAAATCAAATCAAATACGTACGCCTTCACTAACTTATATTTTAAATCAATTCAATAATATAATCAAAATATTGTTTAGGGTAAATGATCATTTCTCTAAATTTACCGGTTTTATCCGATTAAAAAGAGACAAATAAAATTCATTCAGCTTTACACGATTTATACATATATATTACTATTTTGTATAATTATTTATAAAATCAAAAGGTTTCAAATTCAAACAAATCATAACCCACTAATTAGAAGCTGTATATGCAGTAAACACATGATTGGGTTTTGAATTCAAGTTTTTTTTATAAACTATACCAATGCTAGAATCACCTTCAATAACCATTTCTTCTTTTTAATGGGCCAGGCCCAACTATGCCTTCTTGTAATCATCGACGAGCTAATAAGAGATTGACAGACTGATAAGAAAGCCTGTTATTATATATAAGCACGATGCAATGGTCATTTTTAAATTCACCAAAAAAGTCTTTAAATAACTTTTTTAAAGACCCATCATGCTCTTTATACTTAATGGTTTTACTATAAGTAGCAATAAAAACAATTAATAGCCTAGAGTTATAAGTCTACCGATAACTGAAATATGTAATATATATCATTCATATAAAATAGAAACAACCATACAATCATATGTGATATAAATACAATAATCTAATAGAAGTAAACTATACCGTCTAAGTTATTGGTTAAACTACTCCTATACAAAGCATTACGTTGTAGTAGTGTCCAAAAATATAAACAACCTCGTCATTCTTTTGATAATCACCTCAACTACAATATCTCATATTTATCTCTGTTTTACTCTCATACAACATATTATCATCATACATCAATAGATCTTCCCTACA